TGCTGAGGTCAAAATTTGATTAAAAATTGTGTGCCGGTTTTTGATAAAGTAATAAACCAAATATAAAGGTGCCTAGATCTGTCGCAAAATTAATCGGAAAGTACTCCAATTTTCGAAAAAGTGTACATGATCTTATTTCAAAATCTGTTTTAAGTATTCGATTTCATTAAGAGACAACATCTCTAACTTTAATATTTTAGTTGGAGGTAAATGCCGAACAAAATTGAACTTTCGCAATTTTATAAAAATTTGGTATTTTAAGGAAAATGAGACTTGCATCATTCTCTTAAACGTTCTTCACACTATCCAGCAAAAAAAAAAAGATTTGGAGTGTTTTTATTTGAAAATGTTTCAGGGACCTAATGAAAAGGACCTTCAAAATGTTTCCGTCACTAGATTTTTCGATTCAAGGACCCACAAATAAGGATTCTGGCCAAAAGACGTGTTAAAGGATTTTTTTTAATTTCTCGCCTTTACTAAAGGAAGAAGAAAACGTATTGTAATCGTGGCCGGAAAATGGAGAATTTTCGACTTAAAACTCTTATTGCGGCGCCCTGGTAACGAAATAATGGGTAAGTCTAGTTCCTAAACAGAAAAAATCCTCTAACACGTGGTATATCCTGAATCCATGTATTGTGCGTTGTTGATACGGAAACGTCGATTGGCGGCAACACGTCAGTATCAATCTGTCTGCTCATCTGGGCACAAGGTTAGCGCATAATCATTCAGTTGATTTTCTCTAAAATTGAAATCCCACAATTGTTCTGGCTGATGTCGCGTTCTCTGGAATTTCAAACAGATATTTTAATTTTTGGGGGTTAATTTTCTAGCCACTCGGACATTTTCAACCTTTTCAAAAGAAACAATCAAAAGATAGAACGGAAGACACCATTTTTTTAAAATTTACTTATCTGAAAGGATAATAGACGCTTAAGACAATGATGCTGGTATCATTTTTGTTAAAATCTCTAATTCTTCGAAAATTACAAAAACATTAAAAATTGTTCGGCGACTTTCTATAACTATAATATTGAAGATGGTGATTTTTCCTAAATAAAATATTTTTCTTAAAGAGAGATTTGAAAGTAAGGTCAAGTTCAACTTCTCAAAAATGTGAGTTTACGAGAATGTCTACCGAAATACAGGCAATTAGAGAAATCTCAAAAACCACTCCATTTGTTTTTAATTTTCTCTACATTTATAGTAAGGGACGGTAAAAAATTCAGTGCTAGTCCAATTTCCTGACAGCTCGATTTTTCGAAAATTGCAAAAAGGTTAACATTTCAAAACTACAAAATTGAAGATAGAGATTTGTCCTCAAAGTCTTTTGTACCAAATCAGACCTTTAAAAAGTTAATGTACAGTTTTTTGAAAAATTAGTCGTTTTGCGTAATATGCGCAATTTTTAAAATATATTTTCTCAAAATTCGTTCCAATTTTTTTTTTAATTTCCACGTTTAGAAGAAGGGTATCTTAAAAGAATGGCGCAATTCACATTTTCATTCAACTCAAAGAAACTTCACCGCGAATTTTATCATAGAAAGTTTGAGATCGTGTTGTTGAGGGGATTCTAATACTTTTCCTCCTTGTATATAGTGTAAGGAGGGAAACTAAAAATATTTTCTTATGGCGGGACGGATCTGAAATCCTTTCTGTAACCGCCCGTGCTCTTCATCAGTGCAGTGCCTTTTAGCCGGAGGTCATATGGTTACAGTCCCGACTGAGGCAAGATTTTCGACAATAAGCAGGGTCGAATTGATCCGCTGCCTAGCTGAGAATTCCAGCGGCCGACTGACTTTGATCGGAAGTTTTCCGTTATTTCCCGATCGACTCCAGGCGAATGCCGAAGCTGGACCGTAACAAACGGGCCGCGGACCGTGCGTGATCCTTCATTCCTCTTCCTTGTCCTTTCTTCACCACACGTACGCTTACTTGCACTACACTGCCACACATGTGGAGAGCTTAGAGCATGTTCCGGCTGGGGCGGTGACCTGGCTCGTTGGGCTACACCCCGTGAGGACGATGGGTAGGCAGGCGCCATATCCCGCCATACCGTGGGAAAATATGTCCGCCATAAATACATGCACCACACTTACGGGAATAAAATAGCCGGGGGACGTTGGCGCGCCCGGAAACACTACTCAATCACCCAAGCTCCTGTGGCACACGCGCCCCGCCCGGGCGCGTGACGTACCTGCGTCAGAGAGTGCGTGCGGTTGGTCGACTGCTCGGGGACCGCGCGGGCACTGCAGGAAGTGAGCGCTGGCTCAGTGAACATATCAACTACGCCTTGACCCCTGAGGAGGCGCGGATGCTCTGGGTCAGACATGTGGATGTAATGATTCAAGAACATTTCAAAAAAGTTGTAGAAAATCAATTTAATTATTCCGCGCCGGGATACCGTGCCAAGGCCGGCCTGTTGAGTCTATAAGCACTAACAGCGTAAATGCAATTCTGCTATTTTGGTTTGTTGTTTCAGAAGGAACATAAATATAATTTGACTTCTTTCTCACGTCTTAATTTGACTTTTTTTGTCTTGTTTCTCACGCCATTAATATTTGCATTTGGGCGATTTTCTTCACATCATCGCTTTTTGGGGTGCAAGTGCATGAAATTATGTCTTATAATATTTCTGTAACAAACGTTTTCTGTGAAAATAATTTTCAGTTCCACCCAAACGCTATTTTCTCCAAATTTTTACTTTCTCGCTACCATTTATGCAGTGGAGAGAAAGTTATGTAATGCGGCGCAAAAGAACGACGAATTTTTGACAGAAAACTCTTCTTACAGGGCCCTGGTAACGAAAAAGAGGATAAATTTAGAAAACTCCCTCTAACACATCATGTCGCCAGAATCCATGTTTTGTAGGTCAATGAAATCCAAATTTGAATGCCGTCAAAATATCCTTCTGTCCGTCCGCCTGCGCCACGCTAGCGCCTGAACCGTTGAGCCGATTTTTTCCAAAATTGATGTTCTCCAATAGATCTGGCTGAAGTCGCTTGAATTTGAAAAGGTGATTTAAATTTTGGAAGTACTTTACATAAAGCACCTGGGAGACTTTGCACTTGGGAAAAAAAAGCTCCATCTTTTAATTAAGTTTTGTTGTTCGGTAGTGTGAATGACGTTTAAGAGAATGGTGCACATCTCATATTCATTATAAACTCGAATTTTGAAAATTGCATATATTCATACTTTTTTGGGAGTTTCTACAACTACAATTATGAAGATAGAAAATTAATAAGAAAATATTCCTTGAAGGTTATTATCTTTTCTTCATTAAGATCTATTCTTTTGTTTTTTCAAAAATTAAAGAAATGTTTTTTTAAACAATCTCAGCCAGGTCTCATGTTTGTTAAATATTATGATTTTTTAAAATTGCAAAAATTCATATTTTTTCGGCGTCTCTCTACAACTACAATTATTAAAATTAACTTTTCTCTTAATGAAATATGTTCATAAAAAACATATCTTCAAATAATGTCATGTTCAATTTTTCGAAAAGATGAGTATTTTTGCTAATTTTGTGTAAAACAAGAATTGTTATTTTCTTTAAACTACCTAAAAAATTGGACCTTAGAAAGCGTAAAGGATGCTTATGAAAATGTTGCTGGTGTCATGTTTGTTGAAATGCCTGATTTTTCGAAAACGTAAAAATTAAAAAATGTTCGGCGTCTTCCCAAAACAATTGTGAAGATACAATTTTTACTTATTAACGTAAGAAAAAGTATTGTAATCGTGCGCCGGAAAACGGCAAATTTCGACAAAAAAAACAAGAACAACAACAACCTAGTATTGTCGGGCCACGGTAACGAAAAAGTAGATAAATCTAGTTGCTAAATACAGAAAAAATATTCATCTCAGACATGGTGTAGCCATCCATGTTTTGTGCGTTCTTGATACATAAAAGTCGATTGACGGCAAAACCGGTCCGTGCATCTGAGAACAACGCTAGCGGATAAATCGTTCAGCCCATTTTCTCCAAAATTGATATTCCACTATCGATATTGCTGACGTCACGGCGCTTTGAATTTGAATTTTTTATTTTGGGAGGTACTTTATAGGAAGCCCCTGGTACATGGGTGGTGGTGCCAAAAATGGTCTCACCATTAACGCAATAAAAATCAACCTTCTGTTATATTCTACTATATCTGTAATCGACAGCTGGGCAGCCAAAAACAAAATTTTAATCAATCCGTTAAAACAGCAACCAAAATATTTTCATTAATACTTTACAACCCCCCCCCATCCCCGTTCAAATGAACCAAGATCTGTACAATGGCAGTTTCATTACACACCTATAAAATGCCTAAGCCTTTTCTTACACACCCAACTCCATTGAAAACCACATCACATCGACAATAATGTTATACAAGCAAAAATTAAATTACACCAACTAAAACCAATACTCAACAGATCTTCTAAATTACCATACAATACCGCCTTACTGCTTTACACATCTATGCCGCAAACGCATAACCGCATGCCCTCACTGACTGTTGATAGGGACAAAAATGCGGTAAAATATTACGTAATCGTTTCTAAGGGCGAGGAAGTATGTGCTGTTTTACCTTTAGTTTTTATGACACACACGGTTGTAAACATCTTCACTTTTATATAATAGAGAAGTATTCAGGTGTACAAGTACGGAGTACGGTCGAGAATACGAAGTAAGAAGCGGGTGTGTATAGATAAGATGTAGGGGTTCGAAAATTATCGAGATATCCGGGTTAGATTTCACTGAAATACAAAAATTGAATTTTTGCTCCTATTTCTGAAATAAAAATGTTTTTTTGTTGAGAGAATAACGCAACTCACAGAACAACTTAAAGCTTACGTCAAATAATTTTCCATACGTAAATTAAATAATATTTATTCGTATCTTTCAGTTTCACAAAGTCATAGTATTTTTATTTTATGGTCATTATTGAAAAGTTCATGCAACTAGGTAATCTCCATCGGTGAGTGTGTCATTTGAACACTGTAAGTGTGCTAGTGCACCATCAGATATTAATGACTCGTGATAACTTTTGCACTCTGTTGAGTAACAAGTCGCCGTGCTTAATAAGAGCTTGGTACTGCCAGTTTTTTGAATCCGGACGGTTCGTCTCTACGACTCCTCCTACTTTATCAATCTTGCAATGTAAACGCCCTGCTGCAATGAAGCGAGACACTTCTCTGGAAGCAGGGGAAAAAGAAATACGTCACACATATATTTGTACGAGAAGCATTATTTTCAATTAAATTTCCTTCCTATAACCCGGTCTCTCCTACGTGCAAATTATACGTAAAATAAGTGCCATGCCATGGAATAAAATACTAACACTAAAGAAATCTTAATAGGCATCAATAATATTACTGATTTAGAATGGTTGAAGTACATTCAAAATTAGGCTTCAAAATAATGCAAAAGAGATATAATTTACAGAACATGTACACACTGAAATCATGCAAGTGTATGGAAGAGTCAGACAATTTTTTAAAAAATGTCAGCAACTTCAATTTTATTATGAATAGGCCTTAGAGATAATGAAATAACGTTGTAGATGAAATGCAGTAGAGGGTTTTTTCATGTCTGAAGAAATCAAGTATTACTTTAGAATAAATCGATTTTTAGTGATAAGGGGACTTGGACATACATCGTATTTCCTTCCAGTCAATAAATAAAAGAATAATGTTATGTTCTCCATGTTCTGTTGTAAAAATAATTCTTAAAATTAATTCATTACCGACTTACCGATCAATAAAATCAACTGTCACACCAAAGCACTTCGCCATTGACGGTAAAGACAAGCTTCGATACGATTCCAGTAACTGTGCATATGCCACAATTCTCATTTCCCGAACATAATATCGATAATGTGGGAAAAGAAAAAAGTCAAACTTCAGAAGTCTCTCTACAACAGCTGGAAAAGGAAGGAAAAAACAAAAACTGTTAATATATTGACATAAATGTGTAAAAAAATATTAGCACACTTATTCACACTAACATTACTAATATTCCTTATATTTAGTTTCTCACTGGTGCTAACGCAGTAATAAGTTACGTAATGCTGCGGGAAAACACAACAAATTTTCAACAGAAAAACTCATTGCCGAGCCCTACCAACGAACAAAGGATTAATCCCGTTGCAAAAATTCTTCTAGCACATGCATACCCATGGTGTAACAAGAATCCATGTTTTGTGGGTCCTTGACAGCGAAAAATAGATTGACGGCAAAACGTCTGCCCATCTATTTGTAAACAACGCTAGCGACTAAACTGTTCATTTTCTACAAAATTGTTATTTTCCGATCAGTCTGACTGATGTCACTGAGTCCTGGAATTCGGAACCATGGGATCCTGGTTGAATTTGAAACCAACATTTTAATTTCGAGGAGTACTTAACATAAAACCCCTGGGACATGTTGAACATTTTTTAAAAAATGCATCAGTTTTATGAAGCTTGGTTATTGGATATTGTGAAGGACGTTTAGGAGATTGGCACAGGTCTCTTGTTCGTTTAAAACCCTGATTTTTCGATAATTATGAAAATTAATTTTTTTTCGGAGTCTTCGCACAACTACAATTATGAATTAAAGTAATTTTTTTCTTAATGAAATATGTTCTTCGAAAACCTGTTTTCATTTAAGGTCATTTTCAATTTTTCGAAAATACGAGTACTTCTGCGTAATTTTGTCAAAAATCTCCAATTTTTATTTTTCTCAAAATCGGGACCAAATATTTGATAAAAGTTTGACTTCAGATAGTGTAAAGGACGCGTAAGAGAATGGTTCAGGACTCATTTTCGTTGAATCCCTAATCTTTCGAAAATTGCAAAGATTAAACTTTTTTTCGGTGTCTTCCTACAACTACAACTGAGAAGTTGAATTTTTTAAAAATAAAATGTGTTCATAAAAGCAATTCTTCAAATAAGTTTTAACAAAAACAAAATTCTGGAAATTGTGCTTTTGCAATGTTATTTTTTTGTATATATTTAATTTCTTGCCCAATAAATCCTAATTGGATTAATTGCGACTAAGGTTATTATATAGTGACGCTATATGCCGCGAGGGCCTTATTATAATATTAACCCATATTTTTGTACTGTTCGGGTAAATTACGAGAAGCTTTTTCATAAAGACCACACCATTATATGTAGCCCAGCCGTGTTGTTTTAGTCCATAATTTATAACCACAGCTGATGTTTCCCTTTATGATTTTTTTCACACCTCAATTTCACAGTCTCATCTTTTTTTCACACCTCTAATTTGGTTCACAGTCTCATCAGCACTATGAATTTCTTCGCATAGAGCAAAGTATTTCTCTTTGATAGTGACATTTTCATTTTCCTCGCTTTCTTCATCAGTGTTATCATCCGAATTGTCAGGCGGAAAGACAGTAATATCTAAATTTTCCCGGACGATTGAATCACTATTTTCTCCACGTTCTCTAACAGTTTCTGCAGAGTTAAGTATTCTTAAGAAGACACATTGCACCATGGAGGAAAGAGTTACTTCGGCAAACCGACCTTTGTTCGTTCTGCGTAACACGAACGTGACCACAGTACGGGCACTTCGTTTGAAAAGCTGGCTATGACCAGAAAAGGTGGCCATTTTGCGTGGAGCGCGTAAAGGGGTTAGAAACAGTACAAAAGTGGTACAAAGTAACAATTTTCAACAGTTATCAACCCAAAATAACCCAATGAAGGTGTTCAAGATGCAATATTTAAAAGAAGTGCTTCATAGATATGTTTAAATGACTTGTAACGAGGTGATAATTTTGGTAAATGGCTGCGTTTAAAATTCCTGCAAATATAGTGACGCAAACCGCATTGGCGCATACGATTCGCAAGAGCCCTCCTGTATCAAACCGTATCATAATTAGCCACTTTATAAAGAACATTCGAAATGTCTCAAAACAATAATAATGGGTATTCTAAACTTCGCCTGTATAATTTCACTCTACTATTCATTAATTCCAAAGTTCAACATTAGTTTGAAATAATTGTTAAACGCTTAACAATTCTGAGTCCTTTTAAAAGAACAGTACTCAATCCGGGTTAATAGAGCGCATGTACAATTTTATAAAAATATGAATAGCTTGACGTTATTTTGCACATTTTAATTTCCCGTGCTCCATTTGCTGGCCTTCAAGAAATGTCAGATTGGAATGAGATACTGGTATTCAGCCCAGCGAGTCGGAAACTGTAGTTCTGCGTCTCATGGTTAGAACATGACTTAGATGTGTGAAACGTAGTTTTACTTGGCCATTTTGTGTTGATATTTGCTTGAAAATATTTAGTTTTCGCACATAATATTCTATGATTTATATTAAGGTTTACAAAAAATGACGATGACTGAGATGAGTTATTTCAGACAGATATTACGGTATAAATGGTATTACCTATCCATTTACTAATGCCGAGAAAGTATGTACTCTTTTAGCGCCACTAGTTAAGACCAGAATTGATTAAGAAAACATCTCTATCTTCAATAATTTAGTTGTAGGAGGAAGTCGAAAAGTTTTTAAACTTTTACAATTTTCGAAATTATAGAAGTTTTCTTGAATATACGGCCTGTATCGCATCTGTAGGTACACTTTGTTTTATTCGAGGAAATTTGAGTGTCGTAGGGTCTTTGATTAAAGTTCTCCCAAAACTGAAAAAAACCCTCAGCTTACCTTCTGAGTAAGTTTTCATATCAAATGCTTTATTTTTACTTCATTTCACTAAAAATATAATATGTGTAATATTCCCGGAAACACTAATGAAAATTAATATTTTAGTTGTGAATTATTTAATAAGTACCTAAATTTTTAAAGAAATCTGCATAATGTCCATTATACAAAGAAAGCAAGTATGCTTTCACATCTAGATTAGTGTGAAGAACTTCTGAAATTTCGGCTCCTTGAATAATCTGAAACAAAATCACAAGTTAGAAAGAATTATATAAGTAGTGAAGAAAAGAAATGTGGTTTATTAATGTATGGCGAACAGTACTTTCGCATCATTAATTCATATAATATTTTACTAAAGTTTAAACATACGGTAAAAAGTAATGTTGCCTTCCAAAAAGTGTTGTCAGCTCTGTCTTTCATTTGTACTTTTTTCTTTAATGTCAGTCATTCAATATTGTAAAAAGTCGAAGTTTGAATAAACACAGATTTGGATTCTTAGAAGTTTCGAAGAAAATGTAATTTTCTTCCAACTTTAATGATTGTAATTATCACACTTGTTATTTCTACCGAACTGTTCTTCTCTTTATATTCAAGTTTGTGGCATTAATATATCAAGGACATTGGAGAGAACTCTGTACAGAAAATAGTATTTCGTGGGTTATTTATGATGGAGTAGTTATGATCATACTTTCGATCAACATGTAGCTGAATACACTACGAACTCTAATTACGAGTAATGGTTGTGTAGTGTTCTTGTTCATGGTTCTAGGCCAGTACTTGGCTACTCAATGCTCTGTGACATCACAAACACTGCTCTCCTGCTCGAGCCGAGCGAAGGCAGTGCCCGACGCGGCGCCGGGCGTAGTGTTCCAATGACGGGGCGGAAGTGGGGGGGGGGTCGCCCGATAATTAAGTTTGTAAATGGTATTTATTATTTTAATGTCTATGATTTAAAAGCATGAAACATTAAAAAAAATAGAACGTAGATTATTTTATAACACAAAGCAATATCCGACTATCCTAGCCAATAATTCCACTTCCAATATTCTATCACATAACATTATTGGAGAAGACTGTATGAAATATTGTATTAAAATGTTATAACAATGTTATGTAATATAACTATTTTAGTTCGCCTTGAACCAATTACACTGGCACACAAAATAAATAAAAAGTTGTTAGACCCAAAGACTTGACGCACGTTTCTCTAAGCATGCCAGTGCGCTGAATGCGTATCCGGAATTGCGCAACGCTCTCTAGTTTTTAAAATTGAAGGAAAAAAACATACGAATAGTAGATTGGATTCTAGATTTGTGTCTTGTAGCAGTATAATGTACAGAAGTCAAAAGTTGTCAGACCAAAGACTTTACACAATTCTTCATGTATGGGGACGTGCTGTATCGGAATCCGAAGCCAGAATTGCGCCACCTTTCGGTTTTTAAAAAACAACTGGAGGGTGTGGCCGCAATTCTGGCTTCGAATTCAAGCGTATCCATACACAGAGAGAAACATGTATTAGGTCCTTGGGTCTGACATTTTTGTAACTTTTGAGTCCGTGTAATTAATGTTATCTAATAGACATCCGGGAGGGGTCGCTTGGGTAATTTGAACTCCATGCTTGATTATTTCATGTATAGTTTTGTTTGAAAATGTAAATCCTCGTGATTTTCAGTACCTTTTCCATGACCCTTCTATCTGCAAAATCCTTTTCTCATCTCATGACTGCCGCTATCTGTAAATTCTCAAAAATTATTTTCATCTCGCGGGTTCCTCTGGGTTGCAAGTCTACGAAATACCTCTGTCGGTTATACTTTTTAACATACTGCAGTTCTTTCAAAAACCCTAAACACTGCACCATTGTTACGATCATTACAAAAAGAAACATTTCTTCCCAAATCGAAAGAAAATTATTGGGCGTAGATGGGTTCTCATGTTGCCTGAAATACCGGCTTAGGCTCACTGCCACTGCCAAGGTTTTCGTCACCGGCGATATCCGTCCACCCCTCTCTCCCTCCCCCCTTTGCTGGTGCTACTTCTCTTATCGCCTGAACGGGGAAGGGAATGGACTCCGACGTCATTTCTTCGCCAGTTGGCAAATGCTGTTCTAAGCAGTGCAAGGAGCGTTTCAGTTTAAAACTCCCACTTCGTATCATACGAGCACTTTTAACATTACAATGTGTTTTCATCATTTTGTAGACTTTCCTTACAATTTGCTTTCTTGGAACGCCGTCACAGAGGACGAACCATAAGCGGGAACTCATTTTATGCTGAAGTAGTCATTCTGTTTGTTTCGTGTGATTCGGTCTATTTCTTAAAATATAAGCACGTCCGGAGAGGAAGTTTCAAGGTGCTCTCGAAGATGTAGGTCGAGCCGAAACGCGGGTGGTGATTATGGGGAGGGAGATGGGAGCTTAGTTTAATATGGTTAATTTATTGATAACATAGATCAACAAGGTTTAATTTTCTTATAAGCCGGTATGTGTATCTATCGGTTCTGGGGACGAGAAATTCAAATCTGGTATATTATATTTTGCTGTCAGGCACGTGTGAATCAAAGGTACATGCGGGGGTTGGGGATGTACGAGGTAGAAAATTAACACATTGATAACTTTCTTATCAACATTATATAAAGTGAAATAAATGATCTAAAATACAAAAACATTTCTTTTTGTTACAAATCGAGGGAGACATCGTCGTCGTCTTCGTCACCCGTGCAGTCTGCGCTGTCACTGGCATCGGAACTTTCTTCTGACGAACTGTTATTTACATTTATGATTACTGGGTCCGTTATGTCGTCCCTCAAAATTTACTTTCGAAAATCTTCCTCTTGCAGAGTTTCGACGTGGCGCACGCAGGAAGCCCAATCTGCATGCATCACATGATCTGTCGCATCGTGTGTCAGTTTTTCCACGTCGGCGATTTTAAAAGTGTTGTTTCTTTCCTTCACATACTATTTAACTTGCGTCCAAATCTTTTCAATAGAATTATAGGCGCAATGATAAGGAGGCAAACAAATCTCTCTCTGATCCATTGCTTTCGCAATTTCATCTAATTCGTACTGCTTTCGTGGGCTGGTGTGAATTCTACAAATTTGGAGTAATTCTGCTGTAGTCAGGGATGGGTCGTAATCAATTCCATTCTTCAGCAGCCGATCACATACTTGTGACTAGCGTGTGTGTGTGAGTTCGGCGTCTTATTCAAACTCATGGAATGCAAAGGAGTGTTGTCCATAACAACTACTAAATTTGTACGCAGGTAAGGCAGAAAGCTGTTCTTGAACGTGACAGAATTCTCTGAATGTGACAGCATTCATTTTCGTGTGGCAATCCGCACTCTTTGAATTTTTTCGAGAGGAAAACAACTTTTGCTTCAGGCATAAATCCAGTCTCGGCGGACCCTACGTGACAAACAATAAACTGCGCCCTCCTTTCCTACCGGCACTTTCAATCCTCCTGCTCCATCCCGAGTTTGCCAGAAATAATTTCTGATTTACACAGATTTCATTCGTATAATAAATGCATGTGTTAGGTTCTCGAGTGCGAATATCGTGCATTTTTCTTAAAAACCTAACACTAGTTTCCACAATGTCACTGTATTCCATGAGGAACTGTCTACCATATTTGAATTTGACATATTCAAAACCTATAGATTATAAAATGTGGTATATTGACCTACCACTTCCTTTATATTCGATGTCTGTTGGCCACTTCCGGGTTAATTTCTCTGCAGTAGGGTATTCACCTCGGTCGTAAAATTCTATTACAGTCCTCCGCACTATCGTTTTGTCAAAATCGTCCAGCTTTGTTCCCGTACGTGATTTTCTGCAGTGTTTCCCAGGTGATTTCAGAAGCATGGATCCCGAAGCAGCAAGAGATGATTTGGCAGTCTTCAAAATGCTTCGAACAGTTTTTACTGCAATGCCTCAAGTTGCCGCTGTCCGTTGTAGTTCTTTGACAACGCCGAAAATAGGCTGACCTGGGTCCGCTTCCTTCTTGAAGAATTAATAAATGCACACACTACATTTCGCGCTTGACTTCTCAGCACTTCGCTCTTACGTATTTATTCACACATATTAAACTGTAATCTTTGTTGAAAAAGCAACACGATGATGCAAGAAACGAGTCGATATGCGTGAGGAAACATGGGAACTCCGTTCTTTTCCCTAGTGAATAAAAGACTGAAGCCCATTCGCTTGTGGGTTTTCCTTGTTACTGCGCATCTCCGGCCATTCTACTTCCAAACTGGCGGCCAGTATAACACCAAACGAGAAAACGTATGTTCCACGAATGTAACGCAAAACTTTCTAGAAAACAAGAGGTAACAACTACTGTAATAAGTCAAAACACCCGGTTTTATGTGAAGAGAAGAACGGCATCAAACAATATAAATACGACGAAAATGTATGCATATAGAACGCTTATATCCAAGGAGTACGCGTTGTCAGTGGAACCGGTAACAAGAAATTATATTCCATGCGCGGACAGGACGCTATTATTTTGGGAGAAAGAAACAAGGCCCCGAGGGAATGTATAGTGTATAGAGCAACAACTCGCTTCATTTAAATCGAGTGACTAGAACTGCAAGAGTTCGTACATTCCTCTGGATCATCTGGGAGCAATTAAAATATCATAACTCCTGGAGAACATTGCGTTTTATAGTAATCAGATATTCAGAAAACTGGAATTTGATGGGTATAATGATTAGTGTGATCTGAATGAAAATCTTAATTCAATTAATATTGACTCACTTTGATACTACTCCCTGAGAAAACGGGTGATTTTGAGAGTTTACAGAATTTTTCAGTACATTCAGTACTGTATTATTATTTTGTATTGTGCCGTACGTCAGTTTCTTACTCCTGAACAATGATTATTGATTCAATTATTCGAAAATTATTAATATTTTCTTTTTTATTATGGTGATACGCAGTAGATTGTCATTGTCTTTTGTACCACAGATGCTTACGCAGAACTCAAAGCAAAAATCTTTAGAATAGATCAGCACCTCAATCGATATTGCTACTGAGTGGGCATTCAATTCAGAAAGAAATAGACTTTGTAGTGGCTTCAAATGTGTTGAAATGATACAATACTGGTTTGCTGGTGTTAATATCCACCATTCAAGGTATAGGTGAATGCAGAGCTGGATTTCCTCCTAGCAAAATTAGGCTTGGGACTCCCATCCTCGTGCTCGTTTTTTTAAAATAAATAATAAAAACTTTTTAAAATGTTTTTATTTGAATAAGCATTAATCAAATAGTTTACTGAACAACAATATTTGATTTAAAAAATAAATTGAACGGAACAATAAGAAACAAAAAAGTATTTGTTAATGATAAATTTAAAACGCAATTTCTACTTTGAAAGCAATTTGTTAATCTGTATTGGAACAATGATATATTCTATCATAATTAGTGTTTTTAGATTTATTCATAATTAGTTTTAAAGATTTTTCTGAAGAAGTGCCCAGTATAGTTTTGTGCTTAAAGGCCTGTAGTATTTAAAACCGCTTGAGCAAATTTAATAATTACATTTGTAATTAAAAATTACATTTTATTGAAATTGTAACAGGAATGATATATTCAGCCTTTGGTAGATTTAGTATTTTAAGAGAAACTTCTGTTCTCTTCAGCACTATGTTTTATCTAATTGTTTGCATTTTCTGAACAATAATAAAGCATTTTGAATGGTACTCATATCTTAATTTCAAAACATTTAAACCTTTCTTCATTTTGAGTGCAACATCAAAACAAACGATTAAAAAAATATGCCACTTAGAAATATCTTTTGAAGATTTTATCCCCAACAATGGTATAATTTTATTATTGGTCTGATGGTATTATGGGCATTTGTATGATTTTATTAAGGTCTCAATATTACAGCTCTCAAAATTATGTGATGCTGTATTTTCATTTTATTAGCGTTAACTTGATATGTATTTTACACAATAATTGCATCTAAGGCAATATCATAACATGATATAAAAGTATACTGAAAACCATAGTTTCTATGAATTATATAACTGCACCGCTGGAAATAATACGGCACTTTGCAATTGCAAAATTAGTTCTAAAATTTCAATAAAAACTATTAAAACATTAAAAATTGATCGTGCAGTTTAATTAATTAAGCAAAAATAAAATAGGAGAATAACAGAAAAAAGCAAAAAAATATATTGTGATAAGGATAATAAGGAGCACTAAAAGTCAATGATTACGATTTCTGTCAAGTTAAAGATAAAGCTTTATAGAATGTTGGAGAGAACCAAACTTTTGATCTAGTAAAAGCAATCGAATAATCTAATATTTGTCCTACCATTGGTTCAGGTAATTAAAGAAATACAAATTAGAGATAAACAAGCATTGAAAAAATATTTGACAACTTGTTATTACCTCACTGTTCTCGTGATATTGGGGGAATTATTTCGTTATCTCGCAAGTTCCGAGCCGTGAGCAGTAATGCCAATCTCAAGAACATTACGACGTTGCCTATTTTATTAAAGACTTTTCGCCTCACTCAAACATTGAAATTTTGGCCACTATTAGGAATTACTGCACAAAAATATATAGGTATGTGTCTATGATGTTATGTTTCATGGTTTTGCTCTTACTAATTGTGTAATAGTGCTTTTTTATATCCATCATGTGCTTCAATTTTTTATTTCGTGGCTACGCGATCTGTAGGTACTAGTTAAGAAACTAGTCAACGGTAGCTCTTTATGTGCTATTAAAATGTTTTTATTTTACATCTATTAAACTAAATTAATTCAAATAATTAAATGAAAATCAACATAAAAGTCCTATTTGGTTTTTGTAGATCCCTCAATACCCACTTCTCTCGCAAATAATTAGTTTTCAGCGTAATATGGACTCTCAATCTACTAGGGAATATCTCGCTCTAACCACCTTAATTGCTAATTAATTATTCAAAAAAACTTTCTTTTTTTTTGTTTTTGCGCTAGAAATCTTTACGTGGCGAGGTAGTGTGGCGAAGCTGACCTTGTCCCGCAGCTCGTTCCTGGGCAGCGTGAGCATGCAGATGTAGACGGTGTAGCGCACGAAGCCGTTGTAGTCCATGAGCTCGTACGACGTGAAGGTGGAGGTGGTGTCGAGGAAGAGCGCGGCGGCGGCGCGGAAATGGCGCAGCAGCAGGCAGTGCGTGCCCTGGTACACCTTCAGCCGGTTGCGCCGGTCCCAGTCGCCGCCGTTCTCGATCAGGCTGGAGCAAACAGCCGGGCTCGAGCCAATCCTTCGACGCGCAGACTCACACCTAAAAACTTTGTCACATGTTTCTCTGTGTATTTCGACACGCTGAATCCGAATCCGAAGCCACAGTAGCTTCACCACCCTCCAATTTTGTTTTTAAATCGCAAACCCCCCCCCTTCCTGAAATGATATTTTTTTTGTTTTCAGGGGCTGTCAGACCAGAGACTTGACACACGTTTCGTGTGTGTGTCTGCCGACGTGCTAAATCCGAATCCGAAGCCAGAAGGGTCCCACCACCCTCCAATTTTGTTTTTAAATCGCGAAATCCCCCTCCCTGAAATGGTATTTTTTTGTTTTTTTGTTTTCGGGGGTTGTCAGACCTAATATTTGACACACGTTTCTGTATGTGAGTCGACGCGCTAAATCCGAAACTGAAGCCAGAATTGAGCCACCACCCTCCCTTTTTCAAAAACTACTTGAAGTTTCCTGGTTATCTGCAACCGACCAAGCGCTCGGCGATTTCTGCCGGTTGCCGCAATCGCGGAGAATGTAAACCTCTAGTTATACATCGTCTCAAAACAGTTGAACTGTTAAATTTAATGCCCACGACGCAGGGGAGATATGACTCGTGATTGATGATAGGTCGTGATTGATAATTATGATTTAACTGACAAACTTAAGTTGAAAATAATAATAATAATAATAATAATAATAATAATAATAATAATTGTTTCTTATTACGGCACCTTCTTCTTTTAAAGATATAACATTTAGGACAATGCAGACAATAATTATTGAAAGCAGCGCAAGAATTCCTGACAAGAAATAAAGATGTATCGGAAAGGTTATCTTTACAGCGATCTGGCTTTTTTTTTTAAAAAAACAAGGCTTTTTCCCGGTTTTCCGGGTCTGAGAATATACACTGTCCAGGCTCTGTTTTGCACATTACAACCCTTTTTTCTGTTTATTCTTTAACCTTACTATGTTACTCACTCACGTTTCTTTCGCAACCGAGTACTAATGTGTAGAATTTTGTACAAAACCGAACTTGACGGAATTGAATGAATGAATTGACCAACTTAAATGTGTACTCCGTTGAAAATGTTCTTGATATATCTGTAATACATCTTCCTGCCATAAAAGTTATATTACTTTGCATCTACAGGCCTCCAACAGAGGGCTGTAGATTACATTACATTCTTAAAAAACTGGAGATAACCCTAAACAAAGTTATCAATCACTGCTTTGAATCCATTGTTATATGCCGATATTTTAACATTGATTTTCGGGTCGAATCTTTCGAGAAAGAGCAGTTAAACAACTTAATTCTGTCCTTCAGTGTAAATATTACAATGAATGTACCTATTCGAATCACACAATTGAAAGGCTATCGATCAAATGTTGAATAATGAAACCACTACTCGATATGATATTGAAACAAAATTTAGGATACAGTGATCACGATGCATAAATTCTTACCAATATACGAAATGCGAACACTGACACAATAAATAATACACGTTTGAGTAGTTTGTTTACTGAAAGTAAAATAAAATTATTCATCAATTACTTGCTGCAAGAGTCATGGGACGCGTTTTACAATACTGTTGATACAAACGATAAATATAATTATTTTTTTTCAAAACTTTCATTTCATTTCAATACTTGGTTTTCTCTTCAAATAATAAAACTAAATATTTCACTGAAAAGCAATTCTTGAATAACACAAGGGAGTAGGACATCATGAGAAACAAACGAATGTTTTCTTTCATTTCTAAGCATCAGGACGTATCTCAAGAGTTCCTTCTCCACTTTAAAAAATACAAATAATTGATAAGAAAAGTCATAAGGCAGGCTAAAATCATGAAACATGATCAGGATATTTTGAACTCAAATAATAAAATAAAAGCAAAGTGGAATACAGTAAAAAAATCGGTAAAACCAACTAGAAACCTTGTAGAGAATGTTTTAAAAGATGATAGACATGTGAACGATCCGGCAACAGTGGCTAATCTCTTTAACCAATACTTTTCGAAAATTACTGCTGTTTTCACTAAGGGTCTTCATCTACAAAATTCAGCATCAGACCTTTCCCCAAACATTAACAAACTTCTTGCGATGGATTTTTCAAAATAATCGGTAGACTAAATAATAAATATTGGGCAGGTTTAGATGAATTTACTGATTGTTTGTTAAAGTCTTGTGCACCGGCCATTATACACTCGTTAACTCACATATTTAATGTATCCTTATGCACAGGAATTTTTGGAGATATTTTTAAAATAGCTAAGATTAAGCCGCGTTTAAAAAATGCAATAAAAACAAAATTCGAAATTATCAGCCAATTTCTCTTTTGTCGGTTTTTTCAAAAATATTAGAGAAACTTTTTTACGTACGAATGGAAACATTTCTTAGTAAACATGACGCGTTTTCAGATTACCAACATGGATTTCAAAAATCAAAATCTACGAAAACTGACATATTTTCTTTTCTTAAAAGTATCTCCTCATCCATGAGGAAAAAAGAAGCACATATTGGAATAATTTTAGATATTTCGAATGCTTTTGACGTCATTGATCATAACATTTTACTTTCAAAATTACTTTCGTATAGAGTTCGTGGAATTGCTCTAGATTGATTATGTTCTTACCTTAAACAACGATCTCAGAGTAGTAATACCTTACTGGGATAATGGAACATTATTACGTTCACACCCTTCCTATTCTTTGCCAATCGCATGTGGAGTTCCGCTGGGATCGAGTTTAGGCCCTATTTTCTTCCTACTATACGTAAACGTAATGACCTCGACGATTAGAAACAGAAGAACAATTCTCGTTGCGGATGATATGAACATTCTTTGCAATAAAGAAACCGTAAATAGTACAATATCAGATATTTCAAATTGGTTCTGTAATAACAAATTAATAGTAAATGAAAAGAAAACTGTTTCAATGCAGTTTTCCTTTTCAAATAAACACCTCTGCACTCCACTGAAAATGAACGGTGAGCCATTGACTGATGTTAAAGGTAACCAAATTTTACACTTTCAGAATTATTTCAAAATCAGTCAATTTCAACACTACTCGTGTATATTTCACGAATGCTCATTACCGCCTGAGATATGGAATAATATTGTGGGGAAATACATATTTTAGCTTCCAGACTTTTAGATTTCAAAAAAGAATTGTACGAATAACAAGCAAACCCCACCAACGTAATTATTGTAAGCATCTCTCTATTAATATAGCTATTTTACCATTACATTGTCTCTTGATTTACGAATCAATGGTTTTTTGTTAAAAATGATTTCCTTAAGGGCGATAATATATTTTCAGAAAACGCCGATGTCTATAACGACAACACTCGATGTTGTAATATACATTAGGTGAAGGTATTATATTCTTACTGCAAAAAATTATTATACAATACATGTACTACATTATTTTACAACACTGACGACATTAAACAATTAAATTCGATACAAACGTTTAAGTCCCAAGTAAAATATTTTCTGATGCACAACTGTTTCTATACAATTCGAGATTATACCGAACATCGAAAAGGAAAGTAATATTAATTTTAACAATGACATGTAATGAATTATTTATCATTTGGATTGTATAATTCTAAAGAATCTGTAACAAGTATAGTACTTTAGAATGCGACACCGTATGTGTATTTTGGGATAAATCTGAAAATAACGAAAAATCTAGGATTTCAAATCAAATTCCCGTTTTTTCCGGTTTTCATGGATTCCAGGTTCGCTATGATCCCGGGTTTACTATCCCAGTGAAAAGAAGATTGTAGCAGTTTGTTTTTAGACACGTGTGTATATCAGTAACATTAGTTACTTTCACATACATACACATGTACGTACAAGCGTGCAGTCTTTGCTCACCTTTGCGCTTTCTCGATGTTCTTCGTGATTAAGTCGTGGTCCAAATAAAAAAACCCTATGCGAATGAGGTGGAAAACAATGTCCAGACGGTGGCCGAGGGATACAGTTTTCTCGTACGTCTTCTGAAATGCACTGAGGGCAGCCTCCTGAAAAAAATGATTTTAATAACACATTATGTTGGCAGACTTTCTTTTGCTTCTTCGCATGTCTAAACTGTTCAATTCCTCTCTTCTGAGTGTCTTTTATGAATGTCGCACATGGTTACAGTGATATTTAACCCTTTCTGTCCCACTGTAACATCACTTTCTTAGTCTGAATATATCTCTTGAATGTAATTTTAACCAATAACAACAATTTCTATGCATTTATGTAACTTTTTGGATCACTTAGCAATAGATTATACTTTTGTTTTGTCAATTTCTGGAGTTATTTTCTCTTTGGTTGGCATGCAAGTATTATTCATGGCACTACAAATGAATGGTGAATTTCTAATGCGATTGTATTTTCGGGTTTGAAGAATATTGTTTAAGTAAATAATATCACAATATATGGATCTATGTAACACCTTGGGAGATACATGCATAAGGTGTTGACTGAGTACTGCAGACCTTGGGAGATACATGCATGAGATGTTGACTGTTGACATGACTGAGCACCTGCAGCAAACAGAACGATTAAATGGAGGTTCATTATTATCTATTCTGTGTGTGTTTAGGTAATGATCTAAACCTAATTTGAAGCCAAGATATATAGTAGTTATTAAAGAAATTAGATCGAAAATATCAAATAACACGCGCGGTGGAAGTTTGTAAACCGAGTCGATGCTCAAGCTTTATAAAAAACAAGTCTGTTATTTGTTTTATCGGCCGTGAATCGTTCAATTCTTTCCTAACTATATCTTCTCATAAACAATAACATAAATAAGAACTACCTTTCTTCTTAATACGTACGAGTTCAATGCCATATTCCATTTTAATTCGATATGATTGTTGCTTCGGACGCCAGATTTTTCATTTCGATTCGTCGCTTGAGATCTATGAATGAAATTTTAAATGAAGGAAAAATCTATATCTTCAATTTTGTAGTTGTAGGAAGACGTGGAAAAAACTTTCGCAATTTTCGAAAATTCAGTTAAGAGAAACAATCAAACCTATACCACATTTGGAAGTGCATTTCACTCTCTTTTTACAAGAATTTCAAAGAATAATTTGGAGCCATTTTTGAGAAAATGTTGAAAGTGTGACAAGGACTTCATGTAAAGTACATCCAAAAATTAATGTTGTTCAAAATTGCTGAGCTGCAAGTGAGGCCAGATCGACAGGGGATTATTAAGTTAAAAAAAAAATTTCGCATATTTTAGGCGACAGTGGTGTTCACACACGACGGACAGACGGACGGAGGTTTTGAAAATAATTTATTTTTCTGCATCAAGAACCCACTTTTTCTGAAATCTGAATACCCAATTTTCTATATGCTACATTAAATAGCATACACTTCTCACCAAAAGTCGTGGTAACTAGTAATTCCTAGGTATTTTAATATCCCTGCATACCTACTCCACAAGACCATGTACTTACTTTTACGCATTTATTACCAGCAATGCTACATTTCTCCAAGGTAATTTACAAATTGTGTGTAGAGCTTAATAAAGCTTCTGAGAACAATTGACGAGATGGTAGATCGCCTTAAGATTTGATCCTCTAGTTCTTGAGGGCACTGACTGATGATCTTGGCATACCCTTAGATGTTCCCAGCTCCACTGGCTGTGGATCTTGGAATAGCCATTGAGGCGCCAACCACCACTTGGAGGATTCTGGTGTTGGTCACTCCAAGAAGTTGGGCTGCCAGGGAAATGACTGGTTGGTACTTTACCACCTTATCCTCCCTTGCTTTCAGAAGGGTAGACCTCGTGCTGGACAGACACATAGACCACGCGGAATCCTTGCCTATTTATTACCAGGTCAGGTGTGAGTCTAACCCATTCGGCAACGGATAAAGTGGCTTTCGTGGACACCATGGTGTAAGATATCCAAAGCATCTTCCCCTTTATGAAGTTCTTGATCTCGTCATGACGATTTATTCTAGCTGGCTTCGTAAAAATGCACTGACCGAGAAAATGATTTAGTTTCTACCACTTTATTGCATTTCCTGCAGTATACATTCTCTCTGGGCCTCTCTGTATTACTAATGGTTTTATTGGCAGCAGTATTTGATCTCAATTAGAGTGCAGCAATAAAAATATCAGGTTTCAGAAGATTATAATCTTTCAAAGGGCATTTCCAATCGGATCGTTTATATGCGCCGTAACCGCTCTCCCTTGGAATCCCAGACAGCGGCCTCGTCATCAGCGCATTTCTTCTTAAAGTCCCTTAAATCTTGTTCAGTATAGGGCCAGTTGAGTCTCAGTGGCGTTCTTTAATGTGTGTAGGTAGAAAATCGGATAGGAGCTCAGATATCTGCAAATAGGATATGCAGATTTTTCTACTCGAAACCCTAGGTTCAGTGTTACCCTTGGAGCGTTTTGGGCAATCCGGAACAATCCTAGTCCTCCAGATTAAAGGGAGTAATGTACTTATTAGAAGCCCTTTTTCTGTATCAGGGCCCTTTTTCTCGAAAAAAGCCGTTTTTTGCCGCAGTACTACTACTATAATTTAATATACTATATTAAAATATAGTAAAAATGGAATGTTTGTAGTTTCCAAAGTAGGTCTTCCATTCAAAATGTATGGTTTGAATAGTGTAGTGACGCTAAAGCAGCACATACTTTTCGCTCTTAGTAAGAGTTATGTAATATTATACTATTTTTGCTTATATCAACATATCACAGTCAATGGGCGTTGCAAACAATGTGCGAATGCAGCAATGGGCGCTATATACGCAACAATACACATACATTTTCTTAGAAATACTTGCAAAAAAGCCATTCTTGTCGTATAGGGATCTGTTTTAGTTTGCGTTGTTGTGGTTGTATGAAAATTCTTAAATGGAATTCTTTATGGAACACAATCACTTTTTCCAATACATAAAATTATTTTTCGTGTCTCCAAGATATTCAAGTGTTTGTCCCTGACTTCCTACTCAGTCTGTCCATATTCTTCGTCCATGTCCGACGCGCTGTGATGACGTGTTTTGGAGCGTTCCGAGCTCATCGACTGGTACTTTAGAAGCAGTCGTCGGCCGCATATTTCCCGGTTTGTGGAACCGGCTGATTGTTCAGCAGACTGTGAAAGCAACTTTGGCTGATAAGTATTCTATCTATTGTTATGTTGGTTAACTTTAATTTTGAACTAATTTTGTTTTGATGTATTAATTTCTGTTGAAGCGGCGAAATACTTGAAGAAAAAGTTGGGAGAGCAATTAGTAGAAGCTGCAACGAAACATCGCCTCTTCTATCAGTAGTTTAGACAAGAGTGTTCTGGAAAAGAGACGACACACAATTGACAAAGATTGTTTCTTGGAGAAATAATGAATGAAGTATTGAAGAAATTGTCACAGTTACCTCTGTCCATACGAAATTAAACCTTTCTTTTCGAATATCGTCTTTTTTACTGCATGTTACAACTGCATCTAGTGCCTGGCACACCCTGAATCGAACCTTGAAGGCGTTCAAAACGATTTTACTAAGCTTTCTGCTCTTCGCCTCTGATGACAATGCGAGCTAGTGGCGTTTAAAATGGAAATCGCTGGATACTCAGAATTTTGACAATGCTACACATGATTCGAGCGAGGAACTGCCCAGGAGCTTTGCGGTCTTTTGGTGACACTCCGAACTAACAGGAAGCAGTTGACAATCTACGTCAAGGAACTTTGTACGAAAGAAATGAGTATTTGGTCAACAGGGAAGAAATTTGCGCGGCTTTTTGAGAAAAATTAAGACTCTGAAGCGTCAAGTTCGAAATGTATAATCCTTTCAGCTGAAACGCCTTTAAAGAACGTAAAAAAATGCTCTATTAAAAAACAAGGCGCCAAATTTGAAGCAATTTGGCTGTCAATGTGCCAACAATTTCCTTCATTCTATTTATTAATTTTCAATACATTACTTTTCTAAACAGTAAAACTAGTTCAGTAGTTCTCAAATATACTTTTAAACCCTGTAATATTGTTTTTACCTCTCTAATCGGCCCTAGGTATCTACTTGCTGCTACTTATAATTAAAGTTATCTAGTTTCTATAATTTACTACCGGAACTCGGAAGGCGTTGTTCTGCCCTTCATCTTCCTCTTCTTTTTTTCTCCATCTCCATCTCTCTCTCTCTCTCCATTCCCTGTTTCAGTCTTTCTATGCGTGTCTCTCTTTGTCCCTCTAATTTACATTTAATTGCAGATTTTGCACGTCCCTGAGCAAATGGGGTGATATCGTGAAGGGTCGGACCAAGAAAAAGTAATAGAATGTTCAAGTAGATCTCATCCTGTCGATACGGTGTGAGAGACTTTCTTTGAGGTGTTTGGTCTCAACATTTTAGTCTAGAAAGCTTTGTTTGGGAGTTATTTAACGATATAGATTTGTTTTAAAAATGCTACCGAGTGTTGCGGGTTGCATTTCACATGAATATTTTGTTTTGTTCTACAGGTGCATCTATTAGTTACAACAAAATTAACAGCAAATAAACCTTCTTATTGAAAAAAAAACACACGTAATGTGCCAACTTTAATGGAAATCGGTCACACGGTGTCGGAGTTACTCTTAAGCTTTATTTGCATTATGAATTTCAATCCTAGGTATTTGATGCAGGCTGTAAAACCACTGTTGATGGGAGAACTATTCCTGAAACGTCTTGATATTTTAAAACTTAATATTGTAGTATTTATTATACATGAAGCTGTGGAAGATTCTTTCAACCTCCATACCTTCCCAAAAGAGTATAAGAGTTGAAAACTTACTACTTTTCTGGATAGATGTTTAAGGTTTGAGTGCAAGAACTTGCCTTGTCGCCGATGCGGCACAGGTACTCGGCCTTGCGGAGGTTGGCCTCGCGCACCTCCATCTCGCCGTGGTTCTTGGTGGCGTCCTCGATGGCGTCGTCCAGCTGGCGCAGGCGCGCCTCGTTCTCCGCCCTCATGGCGCCCAGCAGCGCCGCGTCCGCCTTCCAGCCCAGGCTCCGGCAGCACTCCTCGTAGAAGGGCGCCATCTCTGCGCGGCACACCGC